GGAATGGAGAGTCGAGCATAAGTGGATCGGACCTAACCGAACCTAATGAAGCTTGATCGGTGGATCGTATATGCGTTAATTAGTTAAAAACACTTGTAACAGAAAGTGTGGGCCTACATAATATAAGTCTGGCAACAGCGCGCCACTTGAATGCTCATTGTAAGCACGTAGACCTGGCTTGTGTGTGCCCGAGTCGTGTGAGCGGCTCACGGAGAGGCCAGCTTTTTACAGTGACACACGTGCTCCCCACTAACTTTATTTCTGACGACAGAGTTCACGATTCGAGGAGTCATCGGCACGAGAATACTTCCTTTTTCGCTAGCGGGGAGCCGAATTTACTGCGACTACGCACCCGGTTATCCCTGTCCCCTTACGCGTTCGCATTTAAACACACGCATAACTGAGATTAGCGGCAACCGCGTCTTCTCACCCGTAGGCACCCTACAAATTCGATTTTCGATCGATACCAATGTAGATCAAAGAAACCTTTTGTCATGGATGAATCTTGAATGAGGAGGTGTTACATAACGGAGAGACCAATGACCTCGACCGTTATGAACAGTGACTGGAAAATGATTAGAAACCTTGTTGTTTAACCCCTCCTTCGGAGGTTAACCTTCGGTCGATAGGGTGGGGTCGAACGGAAACGCGGGAAAAATATTACAAATCAACGATTCGCTTCTTTCGTTCGATTCGACGCTTATTTCGAACGAAATCGAATTGTTAACTTACTTTGAATAAATACACACCAGTCTAAAGGCATTGAACTCTACTCGTGGTGTGTACCTACCTGTGGGAGAGAGGAAAAGTAAAGGCGAAACAGGTTTTAGGAAAAGCGAAGTAATTCGCGTCCTACTAAATAATACAGGTTAATATCGAATTACGCGTATATGCCGTGCCATTATCGTTACGAATTGCCTTTTGCGGTTGCAGACACGCGATGCTCGTCACGGTCAGTGTCCCATTTTGCTCTCGCTTCATATTTTTTTATCTTCCACCTAACGTACGGCTTTGTACTGATTTTCTTACTGTTAATACCTCCTCCTCGCTCGACGTTACTATGCACGCTTTCATGGATTATGTATCTGGTTAAATATTGAAACGATGACGAGGCACGAACAGTCTAGATACGTTTATCTGTTCGCGCGAAAAAAGCTTTGCTTGCGTAAGAAACCTCGTTTTGGATTGGCGAAGACAGAACGTTAACGTTAAACGCATAGTTAGGGATAAATTAATATGGTACCAAATAAGTACTTATTTCGTATCAAATGGTCGAGTAAGTACGCTCGAATTGCATGACCAAAAACTTATCAATATAGTTACCCCTAGACCACGTGGTCACGTGACCCGACGAAACGCCTAATTCCCCTAGCATAAATCCGAACGGTGTTTTATCGACGTCTATGAATATTCAATCGGACGTGTTAGACGTACAATTATTCGTGTCGTTTCGAAAGATACAAATTAGTATCTATTTGTTCCCTTTCACTATCTCAACCGGTTCATCTACGTATACAATTGAACGACTGAAATACGACGGTACATTTATTTATTTTTTTTTTTTCATAACGAGCGAAATACCGACGGCCGGTATGACATTTCAATCTGTACTTTTATAAGAGAAAGCACGCCCACGCGTGAATAACAGGTCCTACAGATCTAGGAGACACTCGATACCGTACGGTGCGGTTTAGAAGTCCATACATCACTCGGCATAAATTACCATATTAACTAACCGTATTAACTAACCGGGGTAAATGGGGTTGCTTAAGCGTCCCAATCTCGGATTACGATAAATTATAATTTTAAATCGATATATTACAGGTGTCGCGTGTACTACGCCCAATCTACTCGGTTCGAGGCGTGTCGATTACTAATATAAACGCGCTCCATGATTCTGAGATAAAAACATACGGTTAATATTTTCATATAACATCCACGTTACTTGTTTACGACATACAACGCCCGCGAGTGACGCGAATCCGACCAGAAGGAAATAAAATTGCAAAATTCATACCCCGTAAAAATTGAATCATAAATATACGTAGAAAAGGAATGTTGAAAGTGTCAATGATAGTTTATCAAAGATAAATTAAGATCCTTCGATTTGGACGCCTGAAAATCGTGGCTGAAGGGTTATTTATAGATCACTGGTAACATTATCGACCGCCTTTATCGACACGTTACCACGAAACTTACGCGCTATAAAACGGATAAAAAATATGATTACGTCATTGGGAGATCGTAAAGAAAATTGAACGCGTTGATTGGCATGTGGCTCACCGGTGATCGGCGTCACGAATATTTTTCAATGTTAATTAAATCGATCGAATTGTTCGCGATAGGATTGAACGGTAAACGAGATATGGACGATGCATCAAGAACGCGGAACGGCCACTGTCCTGAAGCTGACGCTGCACGATACGGACGTTTCATCGTTTCCACGCAACCGTGCCGATGCCAATTACCGGAACAATGATCGACCCGTGTCGCAATAGAATCGAGTTCGTTTCATAATTTCAACTCTACTCCCTCGCAACGCACCATTTTGGGGTTAGGTTATCTCGAGGATGGACCACACAGAATTTCAAATTCATTGAGAAAAATCTGAATACGTCATTGACAGCAGGGTGAACGTTCTCCGGGTTTCTGGTCGAACGCCGTCACCACGCGCGATAGTAAGATCGATCAACGCGAGAGCATTTGACAAACTAAACGAAACTTACACTTGATCAAGATGACACCGTTATGCAGTTCCTCCATCTCGCGGAGGCGAGCGATCACCGTCGCGTATCGTCCTCCAGGTTAAATCACTTGTTCGTTATCGAGCACCGGCTGGCCTGGCTCTTTCTTTCGTCTCCGCAACGTGTTTGCGATTCGAGTTCGGAGACCACGAACATCCACGCGCGCGCACGCTCGCGTTCCCAAGAGTCGCGTTCGCGGAACGACACTCTCGGCGTGGAAACACCGACGACAACGACGGTCGGGTTAAAAAAAAAAAAAAAATATCACGGCGCACACGTGGTCACGCGGCCGGCCGCGGGCATAATTAATATCGCGGCGGCATGCACCGATAAGAATGCGTCGTGTTCGACAAAGAAACAACACCACCGAAACCGAGTAAACATGGCCGTGCGCGCGCGCTTCTCTAGCTCTCCGTGGCCAGCGGAGCCGTCACGCACTGAGGGAGGTTGCATGGAAACGAAGGGCACGGAAAGGAGGGACAGAGAGAGGGCGAAAAAGCGAGACGGAATCGAGGCTGCGCCGTTTCAACGAAAGAGGAACAGAGACGCACGGTTCGGAGAGAATGGAACAGAGGGTGCTGCAAGCTGCGAACGAGAGAGAAAGTTTAGGAGAGAGTGAAAAGATAGATGGCCTGTATGCGCGGAAAGGAAGTGGGTAAGAAAGAGAGGGAGATATCAACCAGCCGGTTATACAGAAGAACGAAGACAAAAAAAGACGACCAGACAGAGACGTAGAATGAAAGAGTTGGCCCATTCTGTACGCCAAAGCGGAAGAAGAGAGAAAGAGAGAGTACGATCGACATAGAGAAAGGGAAACAGAGATCGGTTTATCGTTTTGTGGTGTAGTTCGTTAAACGGCCGCTGAGCGACGCCACCTCGAACGCTTGCCTCTCCCCGTCTCTCCCCGCCCACGAGAGCTTACGCGTTCCAGGACGACCCTGGTCTGCACCGATCCTCTGACCTGGGGCATTGTTGAGCGGTCAAAGCGTGCAGCAGCTGGACTTTGAGGGTCCTCTTTGAAAATGTATGCTCAGTTTTCTGCGCTAAATGGATGGAAAATTCCAGGAAAATTCTGCGTTTGCGAGGATACAAGATGATTCGAAAAATATTTAATTTTCTGTTATTTGAAAGATGGCCTCTAATTGCTAGTTACGGTATCAAGCTCATACCATAGTTATTGTATGTACGCGTATTGACATTATCAGATTTATCGACATAACTTTAAATATTTTCGCAAGACTAAACACGTCAATCTCCTATCTAGAAGTTAGTGCTCGTTCAACTGCTGACTGGCTTAGTTTTAGAATTGGAAATAATGATATTCATCAAATATAAAGAACCACGATGTAAGCAATATGTTGACACACAAATAGTGCTTACATAGATGAAATATGACACGATTCGGAAGTCCACGCGTCTACTGCGTGAGCGAACGTTTGCCATGAAACGCGGGCTTGGAGAATGCAACACGAGTGCTCCATAAAATAAAACTATTTCTTGAAAAAGATAGTATCGCGTCGTTAAAACGTACCACTAGAAAATAAAACATTGGATACCGTCATTCGCGTACTGCATTATGAAACGATTGCGGTGAAATCAAACTTTCTGCCAAGATCAAAATATTTCGCATGAATGGCGTTGCCAACAGGGCAGATGGCCAACGGTAGACGTTAATTGTATTTTATGGAAATGTTCTCTACCCCAATTTTAATAATTGCTTGTGATAGACTATGTTGTACACCTAAGAGCAGCGAAAGCTTCTCTCGATTATGGGGGAGGTAGAAATCTCCCACCATTTGCTTTCATTTCCCCTACACTGCCCCTTGACTACGAGCAACCCGAATTGCACGAAAGTTACCTCGGTTGCTAGATGCTGTTTTCGCATCAATCCCTGGTAGATGGCAATTTATACTTTTGTAAATGCTTTTCTTACTTTCTTTGCTTGGTGAATGACTCTGGTACAGTAATCGAGCTCATTAAAAACGATATCTGGTCGATAAGACAGTGAATCGCGAGAAATCTACAGGACGATTAACCGGGCAAGAGGAAAAAGAGCTGTTGTAGAGCGCTAATGGGAGATGGCGACGCGGTTTGTTTTCCTTTCTTAGTTGGCACACAGCCAGAGAACTGCCGGTTATACGCGTTATTCACGGACAAACGCGCGTATATACCGTCCAAGTATCGTGTGTCCCCACCAAATCTATGTTTGCAGCTTCCACCACGGCGGTAGTAGTTTATGCTCCTCGTACTCCCCTCTCGATCCGCGGGTGAAGACTGAAACCAGGTCTAGATTTTAGTACGCATCAGAATCGCGACTATGAAAAGTTTTCACACCGCGGTACTCGTCCACGTTACGCCCGTATCGAACGATCCTCCTCATGACGCAGTCTGCACAGTACACGAAATTTCGATGTGAGTTTTGACGTGAACCGACCCCTTCCCACGTGTACCATTCTTTTCGTCGTGCTTCATTGGCGTACCGTTTCATTGGCGCATCGGTCACACACTGTACAAGTGTTTTAACGCGAGAAGCAGAAACCACGTTTCGCAGGATCAAGGTGTTTCTTGTCTTATTTTAATCGGCCCGCGTACGCACGTTCCGCGTCAGTCACAGTGATCCATTTTACTACGTAGATCTATCCGCAAATACGAGTTAACGTTCCTCTTGCGTCATCGTCTCTACGATGCTCCCTTTGTGTGCCGGTTTGTGAACTTTGATATGAAACATAACAATTATCAAACCGTTACGATCATCAAAATTCTATTCCCAATACGATTGTTACTAGCTCTTCAAGGACTACTCTTAAGATCGTCGGGTTACCTTTCAACCCTGTCTTCTTGACACTTTTTCCCAACAAGTAGCGCAAGAATCCAATTACCCACGTCGCGTGGTTTCATTTGCTCGCGTAACCGAATCATTAGTCCCGTTTTTACGATCGCCAGCCTCTCCATCTCGATGCACACGAGCGAGTCGAAGAAACGCGTCGAAGGAATGCACGTGAGCTGCGCATGCGCTTCGCGGCATCCACGTGTTCACGGGCTGCATTAAATCTCGCGCACGTTCGAATTGTTATTCCCTCCCGCTATCAATTCTTCTCGTTTTTTTCACGCGACCCTGGCGAACGGTCTGCCAACGACATTCCTTCGACGATATAATAAGCGTCTAATAGGAATCCTTGCTACCGATAAGCGATAATAATCGCGAGTCACGCAAGGTAGTCACGGGACTTTCCCCTTTTGTGGATCTGCCTACAGGGACCGAGAATCTCACCTGCCGATTCATTCAGCTCCGAAAGGAAAATGGAAAACTCTTCACTGGTCGCAAATACTCGGCCCAGGCGGGATGGGAGTAAGTAACGCACGGTTTAATTCTTTGATCACTATGTACCCTCGCGATCGGTTCACGCGAGAGGAGTAACGAAACGCATTCTCTGCCAGCGTATACAAAAACACTGACAAAAGAATCCTCGCGCGCTCGTATCGTTTATCAACCACGGCGTTCTTATAATTGCCGACCTCGAACACGAGAAGAAAAGATACGCGCGGCTCTGTATACCATCCCATACCGTCACGTTTCGAATCCTTATTGGAATTTCAAAGTAATGGAAGTTTTAATGCTCGCCTGGGGGGAATTGCGGCATTGCATGAAACCGAAACGGAAATTATGCCAAAGGATCAGTCGGTGACTAAAATAACCGAGAACATTTGAATATTGGGACATGAATTACTATTATTAAAGAGCGTGACGAAAATCGAGTGGAAAGTAATAAATATAGATCGCATCTAAAATTGATTAAGACAGAAATATTAAAGATCTCCCAAACGCAACGTCGGACTGGGACTGAAATTTTTATCTTAATTTTCATTATTTACCGCCCCTGCTCGAGAATGACACGGACTACGAGTAACGGAAACAGAAACGTCCTGTGATACATATTGCGATTCAGCTTCGCGAAGCCTCGTGCCTATTCCTCTTATCGAGCATTCGTCTTTAACTGTTTCCTTGTCGGTCGCGATACGCCGCGCGTACGATAAGAGCAAAACAATAGGCCGATTTTATTCCCTATCGCGAATAGTGTCCTCCTCTGTTCGTTTCTCGGAATGCCAACCGTTGAGAGGCGAAAATATACGCCTCGGTCGGGTGCAACGGAACGAGCGGCTGAACGTGGCTCATTGTCGTGTCCCCGATACTCGATTCCAGTATAATTTCCTCTCCCTATTTCGTTTTCCAGATACATACTGCAACAGATGCGACAAGAATTTCCCAGCGTGATGGCTAACGTGCACTACAGGGTGCTGAAGAAGAAATGGTCGAACCTGTTGCAGCAATACAAAGTGAGACGATGCAGACGCACGGTCTTTTATAAGCCGGACGATTAACCCGCGCGATCGTTCGTTTATCCGTTTATCCGTTTATGCGTGCCGCGTTAGAATAATAAACGCGGCTAGATAAGTTGCGAGTAGGAAACATGTAAAAGATTGCGAATTCGTGTCTTCCTCGGTGAAGATTTTTCATTTTTCTTTTTTTTATTCCATCGCGAGCATGTTGGGAAATTCTCGCGGGGTTGGATAACCATAAAGGTTTACGAGAAGATAAAAAAAAAAATATTGGAAAGCCGAAGGATAGGATGCTTGCCGGGAGCAATTGGTAAGGGATAGAGGCGATCGTGCGCGAGCCGCTCAGCTCGTTCTGTTACTATGCATCTGCCACAGTGATCTGTTGAAGGAACTGAGGAATCCGGTACACGGAGACAGAAACAAGGCGGACGACGTATCGTGGCCCTTTTACAGCGCGATCGACCAGGTCCTCGGACACGATCGAGCAACATCGCCGATCAACGACGAGTACATCGATCCGCACGAATTCCTCTGCGTCTCCGTGACACCGGAAGAGCCCACCTCCTCCGTCGACACGCTTCCTGCGGGATCGAATCCGGAAATCGTACGTCGAGCCGGTGATTCATCGGCCGAGCCAAGGTTGCAAACATTCGGCGACGATTGTTCCATTGAAATCAAGAGGATACCTTCTAACGAACCTACCAGGTAAGGGTATATTTATCTGACTTTAGAGAAGAAACCATCTACCTACGTTTCTTGCTTTTCAGACAAACGGGAAAATATTACGGGAGGAGGAAACGGGACTCGAAGAACTCGATGCCCCGTCTACCACGCGCCACGGGGCTCACGATCAAGAAAGTAACGTCAGAGGCTGACTGCTCCTCTAAGGACTCGTCCAGGGTACGAGGAAACGAGCTGGTCGATTCCATAGGAGACAAAGAACGAGCGGTTACGGCGCGTAACGAGGATGAGGAAAGGCCTAGAAAGTCGAGGAGAAGCCGAATACCGTATCGCGAGGATCACGAGTCACGGACCGATCGTCGTATCGAGCAGATCTTCGAATACATCAAAAGAAGGGACGAGGAGAATAGATCCATCATGATCCGGGTGATGCACGCCGTGGAGACCATCGCCAACAAGCTGTGACATCCTTCTATCCGCGGACCGGTGAAAGGGATTGCGTTCGAACGCTTTCTAACTACCATTGATTAAGTCGATGCAACGTGTACATGTTAAAACATTTTCTAAGGTTATACCGTATTGTTTTGGTACGTTGTATTCAATTGTTATTTTATATTCCTATGGGAAGTCACCGGAGAACTTGAAAATTATCATATCATTCTTTGTACGAAATAAATCAATTATTATTGTTGGAAAATATGGTGTTTCATTTGAAACAGCAATGGTACCTTTGTCAGGATCAGAGTTCGTTGACTTTACCTTGAAATTCCGAGAAAATTCGTAACATCCGGTGGTCATCACAAAGCTGGCATTGTTTAAAGAGCTAGAGTGTTAAAGAAGCTCCGAACCCGAGATTAGGGTAGGCCTGAACCGTCCGAGGATCTCGACGGGATCCCGGAAACCATATGGCTCACTGAAAAGACTGCTCTTTTCTGAACATCTGCGCCCCTCCGATATACCTCCGCGCCATTCTTTTACAATCTCTGCCCGCTATCGATGAAACTTCGAACATCGTTTGGAGAACATCCGACGTGTTACTAAATAAAGACTCGTTGAGTGACAATTAAAAAAAAAATCTCCCCTCTTTTTTTCAAAACTTAATTGACCGAAGAAAATTTCACGCTAATAAATTCGCTGGAAATCCAAGGCGCGAGGGCATAAAGCATTCGGAGAGGCGGACATTAGGCGAGACGAGGGAAGGATAAGGAGTGTAAGAGAAAGATGGAAAGGAGTAGAGAAGGGCGTGCACGTGGTCTCGCATCTGCTTCTCCACCGAGTGACCCCGTGGCTGACCCCTTCCAAGTACCAATAATTAACTCGGTTCGTGCGCCAAATGCACACGAGCGCACGTCGGGGCCAAACGCTTGCGTCATACTCGGCCAATGTTCCCATGAAAGAAAGGCCTGCGCATACTTGTGCAGTTATGCGCGACAAAGGGCCGTGAAACAGACGTACAAAAGGTGCTCGACACGGCTCGAGCATGGTACGCAAGTTCCGTTCACGGATCGATCATGATTGCGCCAATATATTCCATTCTTCTATTAAGAAATAAACGCGTTTCAATCTAACGACCATCCAGCGCCATATCCGTCTGGTACCGTTTAATCGATGACGCACCTTATGCGTCTTATGTAATTATGCACCCTATGGCGTCCTATATTATTTGTACGATGCAATAATTGACGATGCGTTTAGTTAATTGGAAGACGTGTGAAAATTAGTTAACGATCGTGTAGAAAGGAAGCGATGCTTTTGTACGTCTCTTTCTTTAGCTTCGTATTCGTGGCACGATAGTCGATGGTTCGCGCAACAAGAATTTTTAACGAAGCCACAACCGCGAGTATAATTAATTCGTGGCCATGAGTAGTTCGTGACCGAAGCCTGACCGGTTCCGATAGCACTTTCATTGTTGCGATTTATTATCCTCACCGGAGGGAAAAAAAACAGGATCGTGTAATCGTGTAACGCGTGCACTCGAAAAAACGATAGAGAACGCGTGAAAAATGACCGAAGGCTGTTTCACGACGTTTCTATCGGTGGCCGTGTACGGTTTATTATACCCTCAGCGAGCAAACTATTGTCGGCGAGAAAATGGTATGTACGAATGACTCACCAGTCTTGTTGCTATTATTCCCGAAAGAATGCAGTTTCTTCCAACCTTTCCAACCCTTTTTCCAGATCATAGCGGCCTTAGTTTTACGCTGGCAAGCTGGTAATTCTGGAGTACTGGTTTTTCCAATTCCTCTCCTCAGGGATCCCAGACCCGACCTAAGTAAATAGCAATCGACAACGTTACAACTCTGCCAAGTTTCTTTTTTACCTTTGAAAGTGACATTTTAAATTTTCCTTTCTCCTTCAAATTGCACCTGGTGCTTCTATTTAACTAATCTAAGACTATTTTAAATACAGATTTCCAGCTTTATTGGTCGTTTAGAGGGTATAAAAAGAATTTCTATCGACCTGTAACTTGCACTGGAGCTTCCACTGAAGCCGCTGTCCATGTCACAGCCAACAGGTGAGAGGAGGTCATCGGTGGGACTGACCGAAGATAATAGCTCCTCGGTGGATGCACCGCGTTGATCCTGCGGTTCATCCTCGTCGTTGTTATCGACCACGGTCGGCATCAGCATCGCCTCTACGCTCAGGTTCAGCTCCCCGAGAACTCGACGATGCCGTGACTGAACTCGTCGCACCTCCTCCGCCACCAGGGATCTTCTCGAACCGTGCAACGCTCGATGACATTGTCTGCTAATGAATACCAATGATTAGTATGTGGAATTCCACTCGAGTACCATTTAATCGTCAGCCAATGATTCACGATGACTAAAGTTGATCGCCTTCGATCTGTCCGGTCATCCTTATTCTCTACTTATCCTAATTAATTCTACATTTCTAACGACTTAATTCACGGTAATTCAAGACGAAATCGATTTACTCTTTACAGCTGGTTTCCATTTCTAGTGAAAACGTACTCCTATCGAAGGGGTATCCTAACAGGAAGAAAGGTGTTAACTTTCAACAGAGAGACTCGAGCTTCTTTCGGTCGATAGAAGCGCCGATGATAGCGCGTAGAATTACGTTTCATTCAGTTTAAATGGTTGATGAATACGCACGTTCATTCGTGCGACGCGAAGTGAACTTCATCGAGGCGGGTATGAATGCGGTTTAAGTGGACAACAACAAGGCTTCCAACCACTTGTCCGATTCGACGTATTCTCTGCACCGGATACCATGAGACAATGATTAAGTTACGAACAATAAGAAAACAAGTTTGCCACGATTGTACAGCGTCCACTGTGCTGGGACGTACATAAGTCATCGGTGACTAGATGAATACGCATTCAAATGGAAGAGTAAATTATTCTGCAACATTTTCTGTAAATTATCCCATCGTTATTTTCTTCTTTACTTTCCATAATATTTCAGGAACCAAGAGAATAATCCTACGTTCGATTATATCCTTACTTGATTTCTGATATCTCCTCGTATATGTTCTCCTCCGTCCCGTACCGGGTCATATACGTGTGCCTCTTGAACGTTTCTGGCCTCAGTTGCTGTTGTTGTTGCTGCTGCTGCTGCTGCACACGATTCATGCCCACTTCCGCCGGATATGTGCCGTGCAGCCGACTCGGACCGGGTTCGTAGTAAGCGTACGAATAATCCTGAAGGGGATGCTGGTGAGCTGGGCTCGGCGGTGGTACCGCCAATGTTGGTGCAGGATCCACCAACCCCGAGCAAGCCATCTGTAAAAATGAAATTTTTTTTCTTGAAATATCTGTTCTCTTAGAAAAATTCAATAATACATCTACATAGATCAATAACGAACATTGTAAGTAACGCCCGGTGTAATTACACGCAATTTAGCATCGCGTGCTGAAAATTATACCTGACTGTGGGGAGGTGGATAAGGCGGAGGTGGTGGAAACTCCAGGTTGACTCTTCGTGGTGTCGGAACACCCGACGCCATTCCTGGTCCTCCAACGGACGAGGCCATGATGCATTGTTCGGCTAATTGGTGCGTTTCCTTTTCATCGTTCCTTTGATTTTCTGAAAAATCATACCCCGTATATGTACCATTATTATAAACCCTATCTTTTATTTCATTGTAACATTCTTTGTCACAAAAAAGCACGCTCTACTCGAAGCATTGGAATGAAAATATTAAATTTCATTTTTCAATTTTACCTCTTTACCTTTATAAAATTGACAGCGTCGAAATTATAATTCACGTGCAAATACCTAACCTAACCTGTTTCCCGCGTTTTATCGCGGGAAGACGCGAAATTTAAAGAGGGAAGCAAGGTCGTGCGTAAACCCGAGATAACATCGTGCACGATGCGAAGATGACGTCGATGTGGTTGAGTGTCGTGGAGAAAGAACACAGGTGCTAGAACACGATACACGCTGCGAACGCAACGATTGAGATTCAAAACGCAGCATATAATTCCCTAACGCCGTGCACACTCAACGACGTGTAATAATGTTAGCCGGCTCTGAGATCCAGCTAACAAGATAAACGTGTTGTTATTCGCGACGCTCTTGTAACGCGTTTCGTCGTCCGTTACGATGATAATGATAGAAATTAGCCTCTGTTTATCGTCTACGGTGATACCACGCTAGGTTAGGCCGCATTGTTTCAAGAAACGTTACTCACGCAAACTTGACAGCACTTCGAAAGATTGTTAGAAACTTTGACGCGAAATTTTGTTAGCCATCTATGTTGAAAAGTAACTAAACTCGAAACTAAAATTCCCAATTTACCGACGGAAGAAAAATGAGGTTACTCGGGGTGTCTCGGGAAATCGGTTAATAAAAACCGGTGTTTCTAAACGGGAACTTGAAATTCAATTTGAGTGGGTGGTGTTAGAGAATGCAGACGCCACGAGGAAAGACGAGCACGTTGCCCTCGCATGATAAACGACCGGTGTCTATCTTCACCTGCCCACGTAACGTTAATGCAGTCAATTACTCGGTAAAGTGATTCGGCCCGCGTCATCATTCTTTTTCGATTGAGCACGCCGATCGAAATTACCAACAACGAACGGACGATTACACGCGTACGGAATAATACCAACGGCGTACAGCCTCGGTGTAATAAAATCTTTCGCAAATTGAAATCATGGCGTATTATTACTTCTTCAAATATTTAGTCTCGCAGAAATGACAGCACTGTAATTCTATAAAGGAATTCGCTGCATCCGTCTTACATTGCCTAACTTAATGAACCATTTGCCTTAATTATGTAGTTCATATGCCCGTCTCGTGGCTCTCGAACGAGACTCCCGTGAGCCTCAGCGATAAACTTCGCAGTTCTCGACGATTGAATCTTATTTTGTAAATATTCGCAATAACGTAATCCGTACTTACGATATCAAACTTTAAACATCAACAGTTTCATTCAATATTTCAGGTTATTAGTCGTTGACAGTTTACGCGGTCGCGAAATTCAAATAATAAGGTTATGTTTGACAATTTTTTTTTACAGGACAAAATTGTGCGAAAGTAAAAAAAATTAATTGAAAGAATGTAACGAATAAACACAGAAATATTGATAAAAAGAATCAACTACCGTGTATGTACTTTCAATTTTACATTCTCCATTGTTGTGTCAATATCACTGCTTCCAAAGGCGTACATCAGTCAACACGCGATCAAAAACACAAGGTGCTTTCGTACTGAAATATTATTTCCGGTGTG